ATATGAGGAGATAGAGAGCACTGTGTCCCGAGTGGTGGAGAAAGATTACAAGCTCCCTATGGATGACCTCTTGCCCCTCCTGATGTATGTTGTATCACGAGCTAAGTAAGTGCTGTTTTTCACTTCTCAGTCCCATGGCTGTGTACTGACTCAATCCAAGAAAGGGCATCTCTACATTCCTAGCAAAATAACATTAATGAAAAAGTTGGGGGTTGTCTTTTAATGTGCATTCTGCTGAGATGCATTTGGGTTCTTGCGTCGTACAGTCTGACCAAAGGTCTAGTAGTGTTGGTCATGATATAATATGGTTAGGGATTTCCTGGGTGTCCATCTCTTGTCCAAGAGAATGGTTCAGGGCTGTCATAAGAAATACAGTCTGACTGGTATCCAAGGTTATTATACAAAAAATAGGAATATGAAGTCTTTGAAGGCCAACTGTTGAGGCCATCACAGGAATTATCTGCACACTGGGTTGAGAGAGAGATGTGAAGGAAGAACAGATCTTCAGAAGGAAGAAGTCTGATCACCTCCATTGCAGTGCAAATGTGCAAGCAATGTGCTCTGCTTACCTTGCCACCCCTCCTGCAGATGTTAGTCCTATTGATTTCTTTTTCAAGGGGTTTGAAAGAGCTGTAGAAAGGCTGATGGGTTGGTTGGTGTTATATTTTGAGAGTGAACAGATAAGGGTTTACTACTCCCTGTCCTCATAAACCTGTGAGAAATCTTTTCACTTTTCTGTTCTCAGTGTGGCACTGTGGTTCAGTTTGGAGACTAGAAAAGTCTTGAATACTGACCATCCAGTAATTAGGTTTTTCTCATGTAGGAATGACTGTAAATATAAGATTTCTGCCAAAGAGGCTGTGTCTGTGCTGCTTTTACTGGAACTGCAGGAACCTGCTTACATCCAGTAGAGTGAAACTGCACTTTCTTTATTCTGGCAAGTTTGAGTCCAAGTCCTTGACTGACTTGGATGTTCTTGGTGCCCAAAAAAAGGATGAAATGTTTAAACTTGGAGCTGAATCTTGAAACCCAGAAGCTTTTTTTCCTCTCTTTTGCTACAGTTCCGTAGGGTGATCCAGGTTTGTATGCTAGGCAGCTTTCTTGATTGTAGATGACGGAGGAGAGGAAGAGACTGAGTGCACGAAATGGAGGACCTGACATTTTCTAATGACTGGGCATCTTTGCTGAGATCCTGTCATGCCAGAATATTTCAGGGACTCAGTTTTTGGAAGATCAAGGTGCTGCACAAGGGATGAGCAATGGACTTCCAGACCTGTCTCTCCATAATCAGATTTCAGACACGTGTCTGTAAGTTCTGGTGCCCAGAGATTTGCTCTAGTTGTGGTATTTCTTTCCTTTTCAGAATACAGCACCTGGGAGCTGAAATCCATCTGATCAGAGACTTGATGGACCCCACCAATCAAGGAGGATTGTATGACTTTCTATTAACAGCATTGGAGGTAAGAAAATGAGTTTTAACAGCGGCAGTTACAAGGTGCTGTAGGGAAGCCCTTGTTGAATGGCAGAAACGCTGATGCTCTCTACTCTCATTTAATTTTAGAGGGCTGCTTATATGCCTAGCACAGGTTATTTTTCCTTCTAGTCAAGAGAGTACTTTTATCATTAATTTATAATATGCGGACTTAATCTTTTATCTTGCCTTGGGGGGCATTGTAGCTTCACTCTGTGTAAGAGACAAAAACTTGGCTCCAAAGCTCCAAAACTTTTCCTTAATGGGTTGCTCTCTTCCTTGCCCAGTCATGCTATGAACACATACAGAAGATGAGACTCCACCAAAGAGAGAACTGCCATGTGGTTCACACCTCCTGAGCCCCAGAACCAGCAGGGAGGCTCCTCCCTGCCACGCTTTGACCGAACACTGTTGGATGAAGAAGCAATCCAATCACTGCTGCTCCAGCTGCCTTTAAAAAAGGACTGTTATTTCTCAGATGAGGGGTTCTTGCTGGGTTTTCTATTAGACTGTGTACAATTATCAAGCACAGACATGCAAGTGCTGTGAGCTGAAAGCCTTCTATGCAACCTCAGCTTGTGTTGGAAAGTGAAGGAGGTTTCTTTTGCCCTTGTTGATTTCACTTTCCTCAGAACAGCAATACACCTCTTTCCCTTGAAACTCCATTTAGCTGTTCTCTCAGTTGCTGTGCTTGTTTTGTACTGGTAAACAGACATAAAAGGAGATCATTTGACCACTTTCTACTAAATAAAGCCTGAATAGTCATCGCAATGAGACCCCTGGATGGTAGAAATGTGGGATGGATAAGAGAGACTATCTCTGTACTCCTGAACAAACTGTTCCTGGAGTGAGGTGGCTCTTTTTGCATTCCTAAGAGGAAGATCCTTCCTCTTCTTCCCTTTGCCAAATTCTGTACCTCTCCATTGCACCGTAATGCTGCTACTGACTAACTTCTCTGTTTGAAGATAATTCTAAATGTAAATTTATACTTTGCAGACTCTTATTAAATCTCAGGGATATCACGCTCGCACCTTGAAAATGCTGGTGCTGCTTTCTAATTCTGCAGGGGCTTTTGTGTCCCTAAAAGCTAAGAGATCTCAAATACTGGTGAGAGAACACATAGAAACATTTGGCCTCCTGCACTGACAGAGCTGCAAAAGCATTAGTTTTCCTAGATGCTCAGCCTTGTGCTGACAGAATTCCCACTGGCACCAGCGGGGCACAATCAGATTAGAATTGGGCTAGTTTTTATTCTGCCTTTAAAAAAGGTAAAGGGATTTCTGATATGCTGTTACTCTCAGATGAAAGTACTAATGTGTGAATTGTATGTTAGAGCTAAAGCTCTTGAAATAGATTTTAACGTGCATTTTTTTTACCTTTCCTTTTTGACTTTTAAATTGTCCAGGTCTGTGACTTTGGGAAAACAAATCAAAACTCTACAGACTGTTTCTTCCTGTTTGTCATAAGTATTATGCTTTAATAAATAGTACACTGGTTACAACAGTTAATATATTGGTGTAAGAGTATCATAATGTATGTTTTACAGTAACTGTATTTAAATAAAACTGTTTCATTTTTGAGAGATTCCAGGCTTGCATACTTTCTTCTTTCAACCTCATTGCTGTCTTCAGATTCTTGTGAGAATGTCCTTTATTTCTTTTTAACTTTCAAAGATCTATGGCTCTCTTACTGCCTTCATTATTCATGGGGATGGAAGAATTTGAACTGCAAATTAGTAAGAGAGACTGAACCAGTAAACCCTTTTCCCTGCAGAATCAGTATGGAGAATGTAGCTTAAACTTCAGGCTAATTGGCTGCAATTAAACTCTTTTTCCTCACTGTCTCACACTGAGCTCTCTAAACCTTAGCAGGCATTACAAAGGAGAGCTGTCACCATGTCTTCAGGTCTCAAGATGCTGTGGTGCTGAGACAGTGCAAGGGAAAAGAAAGTGAGTGAGTGGCAGTGACTCACCTTCCTTCATTTCAACGCCTCTTAGCTACCCTACCACGTTGTCCTATCTTCTGATATGCTGAGATAGTGGTTTCAGTGTAAAAGCTTGACTTGCATTGACATGAAGTGAAAAGCAACATTTAGCTAAGCAAAACCTTTATAAAATTGCAGTGGATTCCATGGGTTTAAAGTGGTTGGTGCCAATACCAGTTATATAGCATGCAGTGAGACTGGGGAACACGAGACCAAAACCATGCTTTCCTACCAGTACACTGATCATCAGCTTTAAAATACTGTTTCTTATCTTTGAGATCTCACTCTTATATGGAGAAGTTCCAGCTCCCTGTCTTTGAGAATGTAAACACACAGAAGTGACAGCTGTGAACTCTTTCATTTCAGTTGCCTAAAACTGGCTATTTCTCAGTTCAAATAAACACTGTGCCAGAAGGCTGAATCACAGATATGTAGTCACAACTGTATTTTAAAAAGTCTGTTTTCTCTATACTGCATTTTTTTCCATGCTTTGGATATTGATTTTATTTTCAAGTACCATTTCCTACTCAAAATGCTGAACTTCTACTTACTACAAAATAGGACATGCAAAATGCAAGCATGTACAAAGTCCACAGGATTATCTAGAAAATAAGGAGATTTTTCAGCCTATTGATGACTCCTACTAAGTTTATTTGTTGCTCTTAAGACCAACTCTCTTTAAAAATTCAGGAAGTTCTTGATCAATAATTCAAGTGAGCCCTAAAGGGGCAATGTAACAGTATGCAGCCATTTGTGCTTCTAGGCTTTCTTGCCAACCAGTAAAAGCAAGAGGAATACTTCACTAGAAATGCTCTTTAGCACAAGGGTAGCATTCAGTAGCAAATTGTGCTCTGTAACCATGCAGTAGTGCTATTTGTTGTTAAAAGCATGGCTTTTTAAAGAGATAAATAGTACAAGGTTACTTGCTAGCTTCCCTGACTCATCAAGTCTCTCTGCTTGATAAAATATTGTGCCTTGAAATAGTGTGTAGAAATGAGGGAGTACATTCAAGCCTCTTTTGAGCTTGAGTGGTTCACATTGTTAAATTATTAATGATAGAGTTGCTAGCAGGACTTCATCTTAGATTCTATGATTCTATGATCTTCCTTGTATGTTAAATTTAGTCCTGCAGGCCCTGGAGCAACCTGAAAGCCAAGCATACCTGAGACTTTTAGCTTTAGAGATACCACTGTGTAAGAAACCAGTAGTCAGCTTTTCCATATCCAAGATACAGCTGTTGAGACAGCTTAGGCTTCAGGGGAAGCAATAAAAAGCCTAAGCTACAGCTGGAAACAGGACAGGTCTTAAAGTGATTTAGCTGTGATCTGCAATGATTTAGCTGGAGCCTGCAGTGCAGGTTGGCTGTCTGCACACAGTGCTTTGAGCAGAAGCAGTATGCTGCAGACCACTGCAGTCCCAGTGTTTAGCTCTGCCACATGTAAGCTCTTCCACAGAGAATTTCTGTTCCTCTTTCCCTGAATTCAAACTCATCAGCAGGCCTTCATTTATCAGAGTACAATGCTTGGGGGGCCCCCCCCCCCATTACCTAAGAGTTTTATTCCTAATTATTCCAGATACTCCAATGCTGTAAATTTAAAAACTATTCAGTCATCTTAGGAATATACTCTCTCCCCACTCTATAGGAAGGCTCTTTGTACATGAATTGCAACAGCTATTAAACAGGGAGGAGTCATTCTTCTACAAACACCCAATTTACCCAAAGGTTCATTTTACAAATAAGAGAATAGGTAGGAAGTTAGAGGAGTGCTGTGTCTATTGCTGCTTTCAAGTGATGGAGCAGTGCTTCCGGAGATGGAGAAAGCGAGGTCAGGTCTAGTTTCTTGAAATCTTCATTAGCACTTAAAGATGTTAACACCTTCACAGTCCTCTTTAAATCAAACACTGCATGGAGCATACCCAAGGTGGAAATGGCAGCTTTCGGAGTGTTCTTTGCTGAAGCTTCATCATCGAGGCCGTTTTCCAAGATAGAAATCCTGTTCTCTGCAATAACTTTGAGGAAATTGTAGAACTCCTTGTAGTCTATACCGGTGCAAGATTTCATGATCAGCTAGGGGAAAAAACAGTACTGAAATGGAAGCAACTTTTTCGTGTACAGTAAGAATTACAGGGACTGATTTGATCAAGCTACTAACTACTGATTACAAGTAACCATGTTTAATAGCTCATTATTTGTTGCAGTTCCTTGATGGCACTCAAATTCCTTACCTGACCTGAAACTTCACTAGCCCCCAGAACAACACACCGTTTCTATGAGCTACTAAATGGCTTTGTTTTTATAAACTATTTTTGGAAGGTATCAATCTAGCAGCAGTAACAGCCTCTAGAAATAAACTTTATGTCTGCTTCACACTTAAGACTTTGGGAACATACCAGATACAACACTGCTCATTAATTACGCCTTCTGAAAGCATCATCTTTGGAGACACAAGCTGGCTGACACTTTCACCTTAATTTTTCTGGTTTTGGATTTGCTTTTCCATCATGAATGATATTGAAACCAGTTCTCCTGTGTAAGAGTCTTCTACTTTCTGTTCTTTAAGTGGAAAAGCACCTATATTTTTAAAAGGGGACAGTAACTACTACTGATTGATCCTTGAAAGATCCAATGCTGACCTTGATAGGTTAACCTTGGCTGTGGCTCTGGGCAGCCTGATCTGGTGGTTGGTGACCCTGCACACAGTATGGGGGTTGAAACTAAATGATTATTATGGTCCTTTCCAACCCAGGCCATTCTAGGATTCTATAATAATTGAAGAAGAGCTGCTGAAGCATTAGTTTTCAGACAACATCCTAATCTCCTTGACATAGCAAATATGCACTGACACAAGCTTTTCCTTATCATACTGAAGTAATACTTTGTTTCCCAAGAAAAAAAGTTGTCACCAGTTCCTGTATGCTTAGGAATCATATCCTCATTCCAGGTATGAGGTTAAAGACTGTGTGTCTCAGAGCTCTAATAAGGTGTTGCAATGTGCCCCAGAAATACCTGACCCTCTAGTGAAGAGTCAGGCAGTCAGCAATATATTGTTATACCTGACATTGCAGGTGCCAGTCATCCATAGGGTCCTTCCATTCATTGATTTCTCTCTGGACAGCTGCTAATTCATCCTGCAGGAAGCACCACATTATAGCTACGTTGCAGCCATTCACCCAGTTGTGGTTAATAGAAATGGTATCCTCCTGTGGGAACAGTTTAAAGAATTATTAATCTCTACGTAGGAAAATGTGAGAGAACAGCTGTAACATCACTGCTGCAAAATGTAAAAGCGTGTCCCTCAACAAGGGAAATGCTTCTTTGGCACCAATACCATCACTGTGCTGAAAGGCTGTTGCTTTCAAGTGTCCCTGTTTGGATGGGAAAGTGTCTGTAGCTCTTGTGTCTGAGCAAGCCTTTCACGGAGGCAAAGATGTGGGGGTTGGGGTTGGTGGTGTGGGGGAGGTAGGGAACAAGGTTGTTATTTTTGGTTTATAATCATGAAGACAAATGTTTTAGTGTTTTCCAACAGTCATCTACAATTCACAATTAGAACCTGAGATTTACATTAATAGTATCCTGTTTCTCAATGTCTAACGGCACCTAATAGGAAGTGCATAAGAAAACACAGTGCCAACAGCATCTTCCATTTCTATACTTCCCTATTTTCTAGCAGACAGTGACAGAGATTCTGAGTTCAAGGTTGCTATTAGACATCATCTTAAGTAGTCACTGAGAGACTTTTCTTCTATGAATCTCTCTAAAAAATTTGGGTAGCCCAGACTTTTAGCATCCACAAAATGCTGTGGCAATTAAAGTTTGTTCTGATTCAAGCCTGATTATCTCTCTGTGTTATGAAAATGCTGGCACTGGTTATTTTACCAGGTTGTAAACTTGATGATGCCATCCACTGGGGATGAAAACTATCTCCCCTGCTTCCTGCACAATTTCCACAGGGGGTTGGCTTTGGTTGTAGCGAGGGTAAACACTCCTGTCCTGAAGACCAGGTGCAGTCACATCGAAGGGCAAGTTGCCATGACAGTCTTTCAGGTAATCCTCCTGCCCTGGGGGGTAGAGCAGCCATTTCTTTCTCCCACATATATTAGCTGACCAGCTATAGGAACGGAAGACATCAGCATGGAATGGAGTCCTGCGGGACAAATCAGAAGTTTAAGTAAAGACAGTGCCTAAATTCATGTCTGCAAGAACACATAAAAGTCGACCTTTACTGTGGAAAACTGATCTCAAACTGTCTTCTTTATTTAATCTTAACTGTTTTAAGTATTAAGAGACCACTGTATCAACATACTACAATACTGCAGTATTTTATATCCTCCATAGTTCTCAATCATTTAATTTTGAATCTGTAATATAAGTTTCTCAACAATAGCAGATCCTGTGATGTGAACTGCTGGGAACACTGGAAGTACCACCAAAGCTCAACTTAATCTTTCACCTGCAAAATGCCTGACCAACTCATTAGCGCCCCTCCAAGGCTTCTGCTGGCTCTGCAAATCACAAGAGCCTGATGATTCCCCAAGGCTTTTCTCCTCTGGAACATTTTGTAAGGCAGCTGATAATTTTACAGATTCTGTGGAAATTGTAGTCGGGGCATTCTGCAGTGCAAAAACACCTGAGCTGAGGACAGATCACATCCAGAAACTAATCATCTGCTTGAGAAACAAGACTGCTGGGTTCAGATACAGCATTGTGCAGTATGGCTGCATTTTTCAAGGGGGAATGGTTTTAAACTGAGACAGGGGAGGTTTAGGTTAGATATGAGAAGGAAGTTTTTCATACAGAGGGTGGTGAGGCACTGGAACAGGTTGCCCAAGGAGGCTGTGGATGCCCCATCCCTGCAGGCATTCAAGGCCAGGCTGGATGTGGCTCTGGGCAGCCTGGGCTGCTGGTTGGTGACCCTGCACACAGCAGGGGGGCTGAAACTAGATGAGCACTGTGGTGCTTTTCAACCCAGGCCATTCTATGATTCTATGATTCTTCTGCAGCAAAATGATATCCTTAAATACAGTGTGATAATACCCTTTAAAAAAAAGATGTATGTAAAGATGACAGAAATCAAGCTGTCTTACCATGAACCTTTAGGTCCCATGTAGACAAACCGGTAATCATCCACAGCTATAGCATCCCAATATTCATTCAGCCAGTCAGATGAGAAATACACAGGAGTTGTATAAACATCTTGCTCTGGGAAAGCTCTTAAAAAGATAACATATTGGACTAGGAGGATATAACATATTGGACCTAAATTCCCAAAATCTAGAAGCAGACATCTATTAGGTCTCTCGCAGGCCATTAATACTTCGTTTTCTTCTCCCTTATTTCATTTACAACTCCAAGCTCCATTTACAATGTGTGCTTTTCTGCCTCCCAGGAAAGCTGTGAAGGTTAGCTACTTAGGAGAATCCTAATTATGGCAAAGACAGACCCTAATAAACACATTCTCTTTAGATGAGATGGCTGCAAGACTGGTTGTCAAACCAGATGACAGATTGAGGATATGAGGGCTAGGAGGGAAGCCAGGCTGTAGAATTTTAACAAGTGTCTGGCCTCACAGTACATGCTGCCCTTTTCCCACCAAAGCCATACATGCAGATTTTCTGAAGCAAGCCACAGCCCTGGAGCCTGTGTTAAGTGAACAGAAAAGGGGAGGTGGACACTGACTAATTTCTTCTATCAGAAGTCACAGGACATTCAAAAGTGAAAAACAGAACTGAAAACAAAGAAGTTGGATTAGAAACAGGACACATTTAAGAAGGAAGTTTTAGGTGAAAAGATATAATAGTCCTTGCCAAGCATGGACAATGCAAGCATCTCACAAGCAGCAGGGCAAAAGGAAAGCCTGCACAAGCTGAAGAGATTTAATGACTGGGAAGGTTAGCAGAAAACAAAATGGATACTAAAGGATTATACCCTTCTTTTTAAGAAGTAGTAAACAAAAGACAAATGTACAGGCACATCGTTCCTGCAGGGCTTACGCTCATTTAAAAGACAAATGGAAAGGCAAGTGCTGGAGAATGTGAGCTCCACCAGGAAACAGTGATCTCTTTAAGACTCGCTGTATACAGTACCCAAGAACAGTGCAGTACAGGACTGACATTTCAGCGGCCAGGTGCTAACAAACAGCAATGTCAGCATTTGAACACTTGAGCAATAAGAAGACAAGTGTTAAGGCTCGCTGTTGTGTATGGCATGCAGGGGTTTTCACAGTGCTCTCTTACCTGCTCAGGTGCCAGTCCTTCAGATAAAGGCACCCTCGAGATGAACGGTAGCCATTTTTAATGTACTCTTTCCAGTAACTTATATACTCCTTGAGGGGGAGCTGCTCTTTTGGATTAGAATTGTACTCCTTGACATCACAGTTGGCCACAGGTACTATAGCCTCTCCTGAAATACAAACTCTTTGAACTCAAGCGGGAACAGAAATACTGATGAACAGAATAACTGATTTGGGACAATTGGGACAATTTGGTTGAATGGGCAATACATACTTGTGGTCGGTGAACAGTTGGATTAGATGATCTTACAGGTCTTTCCAACCACAATGATTCTGTGGTGCTGAAACTGAATTCCTTTAATTTTCTCCACTGTAGAAACCTCTAAGGCCTGGACACTGTCATGCTAAGTACAGCCCAAATTCATAAAGCAACAATTGCTTGCACTGCACTCACTCCTGGTTCTAGGCAAACATGATTCAGATCACATTTACTGCCTTCAAGTGATCTTCAGTTTCTTCTTAATAAACTGCACTATTTAGAATTGATACACGTTAAATAAATCATTAGCTTACAGACCAATGACTTGTTCTGAGATTTTTCACTATAAATGGATAATGCTTTCTTTTGTCCATTCAGTACACGTTGGGCTATTCCCACAGTTAAGTCAGGCAGGTATACAAATTGGAGTGGTTATGGACAGGGCTATGAGCACCCAGATCAACCTGTATATGTCCTTGTTTATTGCAGGGCAGTTAGACCAGATGGCCCTTAAAGATCCCTTCCAACTTAAATGACTCTAGGACTCTATAAATTAATAAAACTTTTTATTTCATTAAGGATATAAATTCAAGGTTAGAATCTGAGTGAAACAGAAAGTATAGAAAATGGATGCATTAACTTTGAAACAATGTTTGTAGAATCATTTTGTTTTGCCCAGTGGTTCAATTTTTAAATGAACAAAACAAATTTTGTTTCCATTTACCTTCATTCCATTTACCTTCATTTCAATGAGGTATTAAAAATGCCACGACTTACCAAACTCCTGCAGCAGGTGATCGAAATCAGGCTTCCCACCCCAAGTTACCCAATTCCTCCTGCTGCTCCAGCCATCAGTGAACTTTTCTGAGAAAACACAGGGCTGGTTGGGAATCAAATAATCCCGAAAAAAGTCCGAATAAGTGAATGATTCGATTTTATCAATGAAGTCAACGTGTCCTGTGGAGAACGTGCCCTGAGCCGAACTGCTGTAGTCATGAAAAAAGGCGGTGGAACAGGCAAATGTTGCCCTGTCCATGCAGGCAGGATGCTCCTCTAAGGTAGCTCGGATCAGATGCCAGCGTAGAAAAACTTTGCTTTAAAACACGCCTCGATTCTTTCAGTCTATGTCAGGTAATGTGAAAATAGAAACGTTCAGAGGCAAAGAAGGAATTTGTGCACTATGCTGGGACAAATAGATTCCACCATGCTGGAATAAACAGGATCTTCCATGCTTTGTAACTGTCAATGTAACAAAGGCCAGGTATCACGTTGTGGAGATGCTGCTGTTTCCCAGTCACCTAAAACAGCAGAAATACTGATGTCAGTGGGAAATCTGTTCTTGATGAAGCGCTGGGAACACACACATACACAGAGGGTTTACAAAGGAAATAACTTGCTGGATCTGCTTTGTGAGGACAGGAAACGGCTCTGGGAGCGCCCACCCTCCTCAGAGCCTTCATGGGGGTTGGGGTGTGTGGGGGGGGAACGGGGGGGATCCTAGAGGTAAAATACGACAAAACATCGATCAAAACAAACACACACGTACACAAACGACCTACAAAGGTTTAATAAAAAAGAGGAAGGCGGATGAGCACAGAGGAGCGGGGCCACAACGCGGGGAAAGCCTTCAGAAGAGAGCGGGCTCTGAAGGCAGCACAGCGCCGTCGGTCAGAAGGCGCCGCCATTCTGCACTCGCCCCCCCCCCTCCCCCCAAGCAGCACCCGGACGCCATAGGACGACGCACACTTCGTCCCCCGTGGGGCTCACGGCTTGTCCACGCGGCAGATAGGAGAGGGGAGAGCGGAGTGGATACCGAGAAGCTGATACTCACCCCCGGCCCCCGCGGGGCGAGAGGCGAAGGGAGGAACGGATCTTCTCAGCCGCTCCCGGAACCTCCGCGCCGGGGGGGAGGGGTCGGGGGGGAGCAGGAGAAGGGGTGCGCAACGGCACTCGGCTCGGCCAATAGAAGCGGGCGGCGAGCACACGCGCAGAACGTCGCTGCGGGCTGTGCTGCTGCGAGGTGAGTGCAGGCCGGGCCGGGATTGCGCGGGGATCGAGGAGGCGGGGAGGTGAGGGGTGTTCAGCCGGGGGTTGGAGTGGGAAAGGATGGAGGAGCGGAGTGGGAGTCTGACCTGCTTAGGTAGGGTTAGAACTCACGGAGGAGGTGTCTCTGGCCGAGGGGAGCTGAAGGGGTTTGCCGTAGACCCGCATCAGGAGGACAGATGAGGGTTGTAGTGGAGCTTGGCATGGAGTTGTTGGACATAAAACGATTTTTGTCTTCTCTTAAGTCTGTATAAAAAGAAAGGGGTGTCATCTATTCGCTGACTCAAAGGAGGCCTTGGGTATGAGGGGACCTTTAAGATCATGTTGTACTAACCCCAGTCTGCTGTGTTGTTTTTGGGTCAGCAGGTGGCTATGTTACATTTAGGGTAAGGAGAGGGGAAGGACTTTTTTCATAGTGGGGAAAAGGGATGAGAAAGAGAGGGAAGTGTATTTTTGTGGGTGTGGAGAGGTCCAGCTGGGGGTAAGGAAGAGAATAGTGAGCCTTGGAGGTGGCAGTTGGGTAGGAGAAGGGAGCGAGCTGTGGGAGGAAGGGTGGGGAGAAAGAAGGGCTCACTGCTGAGGTAGGGTGGGGGACTGTGCAGTTTTGGGCTCCTTTCTACAAGAATGACACTGAGACCCAGGGGTACGTTCAGAGAAGGGCGGCAAAGCTGTGAAAGGTCTGGAGTACGGGTCTTAAGGGGAGTGGCTGTGGGAACTGGGGTTATTCAGTCTGGAGAAGTGGAGGCTCAGAGGAGAGCTTATTGCTCTTTACAACTGTCTGAAAGGATGGAGCAAGATTGGGATTAGCCTCTTTTCCCAACTAACAGTGATGGAGCTAGAGGGAATGGCTTTGAGTTGTGCCAGGGAAGGGTCAGGCTGGATATTTGGAGAAATTTCTTCTCAGAAGTTGTAATGCATTGGCACAGGCTGCCCGGAAGTTACTGTCTCAGGAGACATTCAAGAACCATGGACATGTGGCGTTGAGGGATGTGATTTAGTGGGTATCTTAGTGTTCTTTTCTAACCTTAATGATTCTGTGACCCTGTGGGGAAAAAAAAGCAGAACTTGAGAAGCAGCGTTCTATCTGTGTTTTGAAATGGAGGGGTCAAGGCAGGATCAAGATCAAAGGGGAAGGTGATGAGTGCTAATATGGGTGGTGTAGATGCTGTTGTGGGAAGTGAGGCAGCTTGTATTTAATTAGATGCAGGATGATTTGGTGGAATTTTGATCTTGAAGAGGGCTGCTTTATATCAGGCATACAATCTGATTTTGGGTGGTGCTGTGTGGAGCCAGGAGTTTGACTCGGTGATCTTTAAGAGTCTGTTCCAAGTTGGGTTATTCTACGGAGAAGCCTCTCAGCCTTGAGCCATCCTTTAGTAGGGACCTGTTGGTCTTTTGGAGTGAGGGAAGACGAATCTCAAAGTAGAGAGTTACTGTGAATCTTCACCTGTTGTATTTCTGGGTGGATCACCTCAGAGTGCATTGTGTCTTGTAGCATCGTTAGGGGAATGGTGAAGTTACAAACTTTGGTGGGGGCAGCATGTTAAACCTTTTGTTAAAAAGGACTCACTACGTGACATTCCTTATAAATGTTCTTAAAATAAAGGTTGCTGGACTGACAGAACTGTTAAAATTTGTCATTTGTGAGATGGTACGGTTTGGAAGTGAACCATCAAGGATAGAAGAGATCCATAAGATCACTATGAAAGAGGACCAAAAGCAAACATCAATACATTAGAGACATGTGGAGAGGAGTTTTGCAGTTAATTAGCAAGACGAGAGGAACCTGTGACTGAGTTCTGGAGGCTCTGAGGTAGGCACATTGTGAAGGGATGATTTGCTTGTGAGTTGCCAGCATCTTCTCAGGGCGTATACAGCATCTCCTCACACCTGTGGCAATTAGTAATGCTTACATTTTATTAAATGATCTCACAGCACTTGGCAAGAGAAGGTGAGTCACCTTCTTTTTATAGAATCAGCCACCACTCGTATATTAGCTAAAGAACTTAGGCAATGTTGTGGTGACACTGTTGGAAATAATCCCCATCTCATTGCTGCTGATCCTAGTTCTTGCTGTGTGTGGTAGTGCACTCTGTGAAGGGCTGCTGTGTCAGAGATGGGGCAGAATGTGAGTAATGTGCTGATGGGAGAAACTACCTGGGTTATCTGCTGGGTGGACAAAAGTGTAGGCAAACTTCTGTTTGTTCATAAAGCGTGAAAGAATTCATTGTGAATTCATTTTAGTTGGCTCCTCCTCTTCCACTGCATAGGAATGGAGCTTTCTAAGGAGTGTAGCTCTTGTAAATACAAGCAAGAGTTGGTTTATGAGATGGCCAAATAAGAATTTCCTTAATATTGGTTCAAGGAGGGCGCAGTTATGAAAATACTAGGATGACAGTATTTCTAGCAGCTCAGAATGTTTTATAATTGCAGGTTAGTACCCATCAGAGACATATAAGATGCAATATACGAGTGTCAGAGGAATAGCATATATATAATGCTTTTTTTCCAGCTGACTTCAGATGGTTGTGCACGTCTTTGTTTTTGTCTGATGCTGTTTAAATTTGTCATGTGTTATAATTAAACTCCATGAAGTCTTGTGTTAAATTAATAGCTCACTGTTGAATGCTTTTAAACAGCAGCAGCGTTGTGTACCATGATATCTGTTTTGCTTGCTGTTGAATAAAATAATCCTTGGTTTTCCTCATGTGGATTTTCATTTATCCTATGTTTAAATTTCTTCTTATCTGAGGGGAGAGGTGGGGAGATTAAGTTGTGCAGAGCCACTGCTACTTAAAGCATGACTGTGTTGGGGAAAAATGTAATGAAACAGTAGATTTAATTAGCAAATAGGCTTTTGTGTGGAAATTCTGGCCTCAGGCACAGAAAGAAGCTGACTATCAGGCAAAGCCTCTGAGCTCTCAGGTGAGTCAAAAGTCATATGACCCAAGGCACACACACATATGTATACACCAGTCAAGTGACAGCTTTGTTTCTTCCTCTGGTCTGAGAGGACTTTTTCACTCTTAGATCCAGGGGTAAGCACACCTTCTTTGTTGGATACATGTAGCTTTATTTCATCTGCTCTCTCGGGCTTTGAAGAGGAAAAAAAGAAAACATTTTACATACAGATGGACAGATTTGTGAACATAGCAGTTCCCAAAAAACTGTCTGAGGTTTCTGCAGCTACAGATAAAGGTAAGGAGCTTGAGAGATGACTTAGAAATGTACTTGAATGGCACAGCTGTAAGACTGTGTGTGTTTTTACATTTATACTAGTCATGAGCAGGCTTCAGAGAACGTGCTGTTTTAACTGGATGTTGGTGGTAGTTTGTAAGACTCAGCCTGTGAAAACAGGCTCTATGTGAGATTTTACACAAGTTTAAAGAGCTGCTTGCTTGTTAACTGTTTCTCCTTGCTGTGGGTATGCCTTTGTGAAGATGGCTGTTGCTGTTAGCAGAGACTAGGAGTTGTTTCCCAGTTGACACTGTTCCAATGTGCCTGTCCCAGCAGCAAGGGCTAAAAAACATCCTTTTTGCTTCCTGCTTTCTCTTGTGATCCTCTGCAATGTATATCATCTTTCAGTGCCTTGATTTCTTTATTATTTTTATTAATCTTTATAAAACAGCACCTGAGGGGAAGAGCTTGTTGTTGTATGCAACATGCTGGTAGTAGAAAAACGCATAAGTAGCAGATTTCATGCTCTTGAAATTGGAGAGGTGATGGTGAGGTCCTAAACGTGACAGGCTTGATGGGTAGGGAGGCTGCTGATGTGTTGTTAGTTTCAGTGAATTTCATTGAACTTTGCAATATGTTTAGAGTGTGAGAAGCTTGAGGATGAAATACGAGATGTTTATTTTGGTTTACTTTCTGTTGGCTATATATTACTGTTACCAGTACTTCTGAGAGAATCTGAATGCTGTTTAAGTGTATATGCTGTCTTACAAATGTGCTGAGTGGGTGGCAATTTCAAATCTTTGAATATGTGATATCAGTGAGGGAGAGGATATCTCTGAAAGTGTTTTACTGAATTGCAGAAACCAAAATCAGTGTCAAATCCAGGCAGTTAAAGCTCTGTTTGTAACTTGTAGTTCCTGTTTAACAAAGCTGTAATGTGATTTAGTTTCAGGTGTCAGTGATTTTAATAGCGAAGTAACTTTTATTCTCTTGCACACATACTGATGTAGTTGTCAATTGCACTTACAGAAATTACAGTATCAGTCTGGCAAGGGGTTTTGTAGAGCTCTAACTTTTCATTTATTGTGTCATCCAAGTAACTGAGCACCTTGTGATAATGCTATACACCAGTCTGTAAATTATGCTACAATACATTCAAGACTTTGAGAAGAGTAAGAATGAATAAGCAAGTAATTAAATCACCATTACATAATGGTTGTTCATAAGGAATTAAGTCGTGGAACATAACTGGTCTTCAATACAATGAAAACTAGCGCTATGGAGATGTTGCAAGAAACAATCTGACTCTTTGGGTGCAAGAAATATCTTTGGGAATTTAGGAATTGGTGCACATGCAGATGTGTTTCATTTAATTTACTGTTCCAAACTTGAGATTGTTCTGCTTTAGCCAGATCAGGCCTTAAAGCACGTGACAGCTCTGTTTGCTTGGATTTGAGATACTAGCAAGCAAGTCTTATGGGATAAACTATGCATCATCAGGTAGCATCACAGGCTTCCACAAAAACGTGGGCTGTCAGAGGTGTAATGAAATTGCCATTGCCCTGGTGTTGTCAGTTTGCTCTGAGCTGATCAATCAGTTCCCTTTCTCCTTTAAGCCTCTGCCTGTTCTGCTGCTTGCTCTGCTATCATACTTACTGAATTGCTCCACGTGCCAGGCCAGAAGCACCTCTTCTCGTACCTCTATGGCATCTTTTTTATCTGAGTGTATTTATAATTTGATCTGGGAATATGTCAGCTAAGCATTGATTGCTCAGAGTAGAAGGAGAAGGACCTGTTATTTCATGTCACTGTCATGGGTTTGTGTTGATGGCCTCATGTTGATGCTTTCTGGATTTTCTTTATGTCTCATATGGCGGGGAATCACAGAATCACAGAATAGTCAGGGTTGGAAGAGGGACCTCAAGGACCATGAATTTCCAACCCCCCTGCCACATGCAGGGCCACCAACCTCCCCATTTAATACTAGGCCAGGCTGCCCAGGGCCCCATCCCATCTGACCTTGAACACCTCCAGGGGAATTGAAGACTTACATGGCTTTCTAGGGAAAAGGGGTATGTGAAAGACTCAAAGTTGGTGAAGACTTTGTGTGTTCCTGTTATTGGTAGGTTCTTCTCCATGCAAAATGATGAATGTAGGTGCATGAATGCAGAGTAATCTAATTAGAAAGCACCTGCCCTTAGAGTAATATCCAGTGTGTTAATGCAGTGCTCATTTGAAGTTGACGCTGTGATAAATCACATGCTGAAATGTAATGAGAACATTCTGAGAAGGGGAGGCAGTGCTGTTATGGAGCAGATGATATTACTGGCAGCCCTGTTCAGAAAGGGTGAGGTGTTGTTTTTTAGAGATAAATAGTTGGGAATGTTTTCCAAATTTTGTAAACTATCTGCAGCAGTTTCCAAATCTGTGTTGTGTAAGTACTCAGAAGGATATAGTGAACATACTGGAAACCAGCTGTGGATAGTATTCATTATTTGAGTGTTTGGAACATTAGGTTTCATACGTTGTTAAGAATTCTTGCCTAATTTTTTTTTCCACTTTCATTCTAGTTTCTTTTTCTGGCTTTGAAGGTGTTGCTGCTGTGGAAGAGGATCTGAACAGCGAGCTGATGAACGAAGACATTCGTATCCATAGCTGGCCTTGTTCTTACTACTTGGACACCAACAAGCAATGGGTCTCTGGCAGACTCTTACTGACCCCTGTTGCGATCAAATTTACAGCTGACAAGACTGGGGAGGTTTTGGTCAACTTCCATCTTTCTAGTATCAGTGAGATCAAGAAGGAATCATCGAATTTAATTTTCAGCTCTCTTACCATCTTGGAGAAGAACACCAAACACTGGTTCAGTTCTTTGCAGCCCAGCAGAAATGCGGTGTTCAACATCCTGGAGCACTTCTGGAGGGAGCGGTTGCTGTCAAGTGAAGGTGCAGGAGCAGAAGCAGCAGCCTTGCAGACAACAAAAGGAAAGGAACTGACCGGGTTGTTGACTGGGTCGCAGAAACGGCTGGAGGATACAGCAAAAGTGCTGCATTACCAGGGCGAGCAGTTTGATAACATCATGAGAGGACTCAACAAGATCGAAGGGGATATGGATGTGGCAGACAGGTATGGTACTGTAGCATCTTCTGAGCTAAGTAGTGGTTGTGGGATTGTATGCCTTAAAAGAGAGCTGCAGAAGTCTTTAGGAAACCAAGGTGTTGATTTGCAGTAAAAGTTTAAGCCTGTGATCTCTCATCGATGTAGTTCTTACTGAGATGTTGAGCAACATCTTGATGTTGCTTCTGTATTTCTGTCTTTCCTCCTGTCTGTCTCACGTTTCTTCTCCCTGGATAAATTATTTCCGTATGTGTTCTTTGTCTTTCAAATGACTTTTCAAGCCCTTCTGAGTTTCATTTATGATTGGCAGAAATGTTAATCTTTGAGAGATCTCAAACAAGTCTTGTTTTGAGAAAATTGAAAGCTAGTTACAGGAAAGATACAAATTAATACCCCTGCTGAATGGCACGCTCTGTAATTAATGATTTTTATCAGGTGTCCTAGAATATAGATAAGTGTGAAATATTAGAAGTTTATTTTCTTTCCTAAGTCATGGAGTAGCCTACGTTGCTGTTACGCAGTGAACACAACCGAGGTTTGGCTTTTCTGTTGGTTTGTTTTGCTTTTTCTCCAAAGGAAATGATGCATATGGCAGGAGGTCTTCCTTCTTGGAAATAGTTTCCTAGAGTTATCAGGTGACAGCCCCAAAATAATCTTTGGTTTAGCTAGACTGCATTCCTTTTTCTGTGAATAGAAGTCAACTCTTGAAGCTGCTTTTGTATGCAAAGTGTAGTTGAGGGCTTTGTATTTGCTGTTAGGGGCAGCAGTGAGGACTGTGTGGTGGAAGTGCTGTCAGGGAAATGGCTGTAGATGGAATATTTGTGGTAATCTCAGGCACTGGGTGACTAATTGTTTTTGAAAACAGTCTTAAGCATTGAACTTAGGCAACAGAATGGAGCTGTGGAGAACACTGGAGATGCTGTGTGTCTTTGGCTGTAGCAGAACTCATGAATAGTGAGTGGTTGGTGTCACTGTGTTTCAGCTTCATTATTTAATGATTACCATTTAAAGTGAATTACTCTATGCTATTTTGTGTGTAAGCTGGACTCAACAGCAGTCTAAAACAGACGAGATTAGTAGTACTGTCATGTTTGAAGATCTGTAGTTATGAGTGTCTTTGTGGAAGCTCTGACACCTGCATAAAGAAACAAACCCACTAGAAGTTCAGACTGGTTGTTCTTGGAAGAAGCATTTGTTTTTAGAAAGATGTCTCAAGGAAAGCGTTGATTTCACATTGATTTTGGTGATACTCCTCGTGCTCTTTCATGAAAAGCCAAGGCAACGGAAAGCTTCAGCAATAGATTTTAAAGTTTTGTAGCAATAAACAAAGAGTAGGAAAATAAACAGCTGCTCATTGTTTTTGGAAGAGGGTTTTGTTTTGGGTGAAGATGTGCTGGGAGGTATTGCTTGTCCTGGTGAATCTGAAGAGCTAAAGGCTTTGATTTTAAAAATGGAAAAATAAAGGAAGACATTGACCAAATGTTAGGTGATGCTTATTTTATCTGAACTGTGTGGGTTTGAACCAATTTCATCGCAGACTAACACAAAGTTGGGAGTCATAAGCCAGTCTGCTTTCCCTTTCCCATGCTTTTCAGGGTATTCTAACACTTGTTTTAGAGTACATTGTGTATGTAGCTGGATTCAGTGAATCCATTCCCCCTCCCACTCCTGACCGAGGGCCTTCTGGTAAACAGATGACATCTTTCTTCATCTTCCTAACCAGTGTAGAAAATGGGTATGTTCAAAGCTCACTTGATTGTTGCATGTTGGCTAATTCAGACTATTAACATAATTAAACATGCAGATGTATCTTATGTCTCTGACTCTTGCAAACTTTAGAAACTTACTGAGAAATAACTATGTGGATGAGATAATTCGGGGCCATTGTACACATGTAAAAGATTTTGTGCAGGCAGGTATAAGAGGGAGCAGATTTCAGTGTGTATTAGTTAAAAGTTTTTAATAGCAACACCAGTATGGTGGGGTTGTCTTTGATAAAACAAGCCAGGCTCTTCTTTCTGTTTTCATATGTTTAAAACTTTGATTAACTTTGTATCTGTATGTGTGGGCTTTTTGTTTTTTTGGATTATTAATTCTGTTCTTGTGTGTGCCTGGGTATATACAGCTGCTTTCAGTGGAACTGTGTGCAGATAAGCAGAACAGAGTCTGACGTGCTAGCAGATGTTCACCAACCAAAAAATAAACTGGTTCCTTATAAATATATTGCTGTGAGAGGACAAGGTACTCTGGTTGCAAATTTTCATTTGTGTATAAAGACTGATGTACTGGTTTGTTGATACAGGGGGGTGACTCCTCCATGGAAGGCCAGAGAAGTTGGCTGGAGCCTTTGTCAGGGCTGCACAACGGAGAAATCTTGACTGTAAATCAGACATTGCACAGCCAGGAAGTTGGTCCCTTGGGAAAGGAGGGAGGGGAGAGCGAGGGGATAAAGGGACGAAAATTAAGGCTAAAACCTATCAAGAGTAAGTTACCACAGTGTAACTAGAGGTTTAGATTTGTCACGCTGCAGCTGTTATCAGTAAGTAAACACACGTGCTCTTTTCTCACCATGAATGTGATGAGGGAAGCTTATACTGCAGTAGGAATTTAATGACTTCTCATAGGTTTGGACACAGGCGTAAGCTGTCATTGTCCTGGAATACCTCGTTGTAACCCTTTCATTAACCAAGGGGCCAGAAAATGCACTGTGCTCTGTAGGAGTGAGATCAGGTCAGTTTCTGTTTAGTTACGACACCTAAGTCGGTACATGGCTTTTAATTCGGGAGATGCTTTGAGCTAGCAGTTGCTTAGAGGGCTTTTTCAGTCTTTCTCCATGCTGAACTTAAGTTGAACCTCATAGTTTCAGAATTCAGCCCTAAATCTGTGACACTGTGCCATTTCAAATTGTGTTAGTGCAGAACTTTGTTACATCTCTTCCGATGTGTCTTTTTTTTCCCCCTTAAGGAGTGTCACAGCATTTTCAGAGGGCAGCAGAGAGCTCCCAGACCCATTGCTCATCTTGCATGCTGTCAACATAAATATATGATGTCCATGCACTAGCTGGGAGTATACTGTTAAAGCAATTCATTCTGCCTCTGTCTGTGTGGTTTACTCCCAGGGTGCTTTCTTTTCTGCTTTTTCTTGCAGATGGATTTCTTTAAGTAGGTCTGTTTAGGAGCTGGTGCATAACTTTGGCAAAATATACTTTATATTTTGTTCCAATAAGGCTTGTGTCTCGAGGGTTTGTGACAGTAAATAGTCTTTTTTAGTAAGGACAGTGTTTTGTTAAATTACAGTTTGGCTTCATTAGGAGCATCTACTGTAGCACCTGCCTGGTCATTGGCAGGGTTGTTAGAGCAGTGGAATGGAACAAAATCAAATCAAAATCCTGTTTTTCATTCATTTTCATTCCTGCCCCCTCCCCCCCCCCCTTTTTTTTTTTCCCCTGTGGAAAGGATGCCTAGGAGGCATGGACCTGATGAGATCTGTGATATTGATCTTCTTTGGGACAGTACCACATGAAAGGATAATGGGCCAAGCTGACAGAAAATGTAACAGAGGGATCATATCCAGCATTCACAAATTCTTCCCTCTGGATGTACATAGAATGCACATAATGCCTTTCTTATCTGCATTTGTTGAGCCAGTGCTCAGAACTTTGTACTCGCTTGTTTGAGCTGGCAGTGGGGATTTGGGACCGGGGGTAAAGCGAAAGGTGGCATCAGCCTATGGGATGGAGGTAGAAGGGAGTAGTAAAAAGCGGCAGCAATGATGCCCAAGAGTGGAAATATTGAGCTTAAAGGCAGTGTTAGCTAAAGAACAAATGGTTGTAAATTGGCCTGAATAAACCCAGTGGGAAGCTGGATTTCTCACTTCTGAATGGTAAGACTCTGGGATCGCTTTCAAACATGTTGGCAAATAAGGGAAAGCTGTTGTTGAAAAAGGATGGATTGTGGTAAGATGTGAATAGGATTGAGAAGCAAAATAGCAGAGGGCTGGAATCAATATGAAGAGTTGTTCATAGATGAAGTAATTTGCTTTCAGCTGGTGGGTAGCACAGCCTTCCTACTGGCTTTTTCCTTCTAACGCTCTCTTCTCTTTGCTAGGCTGTTGACGGAACTCGAATCTCCTTCTTGGTGGCCATTTAGCAGCAAGCTCTGGAAAGCACCCTTGGAAACGAAGCCAAAGGAAACTGCCACAGTTTCCGATTTGAAGAACCAGGAAGGAATCATAATTAGAATTCCAGTTATTATCACCCACAGAACAGACTCAAATGTGAAGCCAGGAAAACTCACGCTCTTTGCTTCTGGCCTGGAAATCAGTGACTGCAATTCTCAGGTCATTCACCGGTTTGAATCGAAGGATGTGGATGATATCAAAGTTCACACACCGTATGAAATCAGTGTCCGTCAGAGGTTTATTGGAAAGCCTGACACCTCTTACCGGCTCTTGTCAGCAAAGATGCCAGAAGCAATCTCTGTCTTAGAGATGCAGTTTAGCAAGAAGATACAGTTTTTAGAAGATGCCCTCGGATTTGTTGGTGCCAGGAAGTCTCCTCAGGTAGATTTTGGCACTTCCATTTGGCAAGCAGGTATGTGACAGACAAAACAATCTATCCATAATTGCTATTGCCAGTATGCACTGTTTCTAAATGGCTTTCAAACTCTGAATGGGATATGCAAGTCCTCTTTACCCCCAGCCCAGTGGTGAGGCCACGCTGGTAACAAAACATAACTAACTACTACTTGACTTCAGGCCCTTTTACCAAGAGAGCAAGGGTGAGGCTGGAGCTAACAGAAGTGCTGGGGACGTTTGAATACAGTTGGATTTACTTTCTCCCAAATGCAGTAGCAAAATGTGACTCCAGATGCTGAAGCTGCGGTGTCTCTTGAGGGCCTGACAACTAGAATATGCCAAGCTGTCTTTAACACTGTAGTCTCAGCTGGTGTTTTCACCAGCTTCACAGCGGTTTGTGAAAGGATTAGCTTGATTTGAGTTTCAACTACTGGGCTGTGTTTTAACTTTGGTGTCATTCTTTTTTCCAGTGGTCACCAATTCAGTATTGTGCTACTCTGGGGAAGGGTTGTTAGAAACCCATTCTCCTCTTTGGAGTGTGTGCTTCTGAGTCCTCTGCTGTTACTGTTTTTCCTTTGGCAGTTTGCAACTGGAAGCAATATTTAATATAAAAGGTTTACAACAAACTCCCAGTCCAGTGAGTTTTTCAAATAACTTAAAAGCCAGCATTTCTATTTCATAATAAGTGAAAATAAACGTATTTATTTAAGAAGTTCCATTGTTTGGATTTAGGAGATTTTAGGTTTCGGATCAGGTGAAGGCATAGTTTAAATCACTGTAGAAAAACAAACAAAGAAACAAAAAAACAACCAGGAGGGTCTTCAACTCCTTCACAACAGTAAGAATGAAAACCTTAAGCTATTGCTACTTTTAAAATCTTGGGAGGGTTGTGTTTTTTGTTCATATCTTGTTATCCAAACCAAAATTCATTTGTAAAGCTGATGAATTTTTGTCTGCTCTGTCAACATGTCCAAATCCTTTTTTTCTCCTAATTGTTAGTGACCAAAAAGCAAATCAATGGATGGGTTTATTATCAGTAAATTAAAAGTAGAAAAGTGCTAGACTAAAACAATAGGTAAAACTAATTCTAAGCACAAAGCTACAACTGGATTTCAGCAGGGAGGATCATGTTCTCTTGTTGACGAGTCATCGAGGGCCATAGCTTGGAAAAGCTTGTTAATTTTTAGGGAAGTCAGTCTCTGGGCATCTGGCACTGAAGTGTCGGCACAACAACTTGGAGGAAAAACAACCTGCTGGTTTCTTAAGCACTGAGTTATTCCAGCAAATTGGTGTTCAGTTCCTGATGGTCTTAAGCCTGGTTACATAAAATAATTGGTTGTACAGCCCTACTGTGCTTAATTTCCCCACTGCTCTGCTCTGTTTGCATCTGAGTCAGTGAGTCAAGGATATTGCTCTCCTACCCCCACCTGCATTCTGGCTGTTTAATTTGGAAATGCCAGCAAAGAAAACGGGAGGTTATGGAAATCCTGACTGCTGCAGCTCCACCAAAACCCTTGTTTGTTCCTTCCCTGGAGAGGGCTTGCTGCCTGCCCGCTGTCGCTAGATGGCAGTCACGGATTGTGCTTTACCCAATGCTTATTTTCCATGGCCGTTCACATGCTGCAAGTACAGGTGACGATGGTTATTATTGATCTGATTCGCTGCTAAAAGCAGGGGGGAGTATTCTGTGTTACGCATGTCTGCCTTTGAGTCCGCATAAACTGTGCGTGTGATTTCAGGTGTAGCAAACATTGATTCAGAGGTGTGCAGGAGAAGCAGAGGTGCAGCAAAGTGGCTGGTAGTGTTCTCTGCTGCAGGCAGTGCAGCTAAGGGATGTGAACATTTCCACAACTGTCATCATCTTCTCTAGGTCCTGTCTGCTTTTACAAGTCCTGCCTTAAAGCTGTGCATGTTGCACATTTGTATAAATAACTGCAACAAAACTGTTTTTCCTATGAGTTTTGGCTTGATTTCAAGTAAGCACTTCACAGATTCCTATTCTTATACACACTAGATTACTGAAACAACTTTTAGCTACTTTGTACCTCTTTCCTGACTCTGTGTATGTTTGTTTTTGGACAAAGCTGCAAAGAGTGTTTAAATGCTGGAGGGAGCACAGAAAGGATTGTTTTGTAACAGAGGCTCTTCTGTGATAGATTAATTCCAGTACTTTCCTCACCAGTAATGGCTGATCACAGTTCCCCTAGACTAAAAGGCACAAGAAATCTTGCAGTGTGCCTGTCTAGGGCAGTGCTGTCTTAATCCTATAGCTGGAGACTGGCATTTACAGCTTTAGATCCCTTTCAAAGCTGCTGCCTTTTCCCTGCTTAGCCACAGTGACTGTGTTTTCATTCTTAGGAGTTTACAGCACTTTGCTAGTTACTCTCATGGAGGCAGCAGTCCTGCAAGCCAACTGGATGTAACAGAGCTAAACAAAATTGCTTTACTGCTTTTTAAATATTTCTGCCTCTTTACTCATTCTCTCCTTCCTTTTTTTGTTTGTTTGTTACTAGAAATTGCTGAGAATCATCAGATCTCCTTCCCCTGTTCCATTCTTTCTACGTGCTTTTGTCATGTTCCCCTCCTATTCCTGTCCTCTGAGCTTAATGGGAGTTAATGAAATAATTAGCACGTAGGGACACTCAGCTGATCAGAACCATGCAGAATCTTGTCTGGCTGTTTGCTGCCATAGGAAGGTCTGTCATTCCCTTACCACTTTCCCTTTCGAGGGAGTCCATGACAATAATATACCATAAGCAGTGTTTTTTCAGTGCCTGGTTCCTATCCCTTCCAAGTACCAAGAGCATTTGCACAGGGTAACATAAGTACAACGAGTGATTTGCTTGTCTTAAACCTTGATGGTGTCTGAGTCCAGTGAGTTTCAGACTGATAAGTGAGTATGTCCAAGGATTAGGAGCTTGCAGTAATTACTTGAGAGGGATTTAAGGTTTGGTACTTTTGATTTAGATTTTGTCTCTGTTTTCATGGAGAAGTAACACTACCCCAGGGCAGTTAGGTGAATGCTGTCAGCCAGCCAGCTGGGCACCAGCTTGGGCCTGGCAGGGAGCTCTGACTTGTGACATGCTTTCTGGCCTGATGTCCTGAAGATTTGCTGTTGTTGTCCTGCACAGGTCAGGCTGTTTGCTTGCAGGTGGCAGTGGTAGCACTAGCTTCCTTCCTTCTCAGTGCCTCTTTAAGTGGGAGCACTTTGGAGATGTTTGGAGTGCTTCTAGGAGCCAAGATGTGCGTCTTGGGTGTTTAGAACCCATCTGCATCAAAAATAACAACCTTTCCTTGCAGCACGTCCCTGCTACCCCACTGGGCAGTATCAGATAGTGCAATAGGAGCTGATGCTTTAAATAAAGGACAGGTGGCATGTTACACCAGGGACTGCATTCATGCTGCCTAGCTGGGGGTGGCTGTTAGCGTCAGTGTTGCCCTTCTGCTTCAGGGGTTCACTGGCTTCACTCTTTGGCTCTGTCTGTAGTCCATCACTTTTAAATTCTTTGATTAAAAAGAAGCAACGGGTGCAGATTCTTAGTTTATCTGATTGGAATTGCATTGCTGCTGCTTGCTGTCTGTTAATATGCATGCTCACAGCTCAAAATGAACTCGTTCTTCAGGTGCAGCCTTTAAGAATGGCCTTTCAGCAGCATGTTTACTTTCAGTTTGGGCATTGTACAAAATACAGCTTGAATCCTTCCTTGGAGAACTTCGCTCAAAAAGCAAGGATGGGTCTGGTGTATCTGAATGAGCTTGTCCTCTTGCAGACTGCTACAGAGCAGAGTTCAGCCTGTTTGGTTCTGCACTAGCGTTCCCTGTCACTACAGGAGATGGCAGTCTTTGACCATGGGAATTTCTCTTTCAGCCACAGGACTCTTGGGAGGAGTGGTGCAGCCCAGCTCTCCAGTGGGAGGCAGAGAAGGAACGGACAGTGACCAGGTTCAACTGCAGAAGCATGAGAAGATCTCTCAGGAGGAGGCAAAAGAGCTTAAACAGGTATAAGTCAAGATAACTGACTTGGTTTGCTCCCTCTTTATCCTTAGCAACATGCATTTTTCTCCCTTCATCAGAAACGTAGTCACAGAATCATAGGGATTGGAAAAGGACCTCTGGAAGTCATCTAGTCCAACCCTCCTGCTAAACCAGATTCCGTGGAATCAAGTAGTAGTCAGTGTCTTAACAAAGTATTAACATCCCTAAACTTTAAAAAAAAAAAAGTCCATCAAGTCTGTGATTAAAATACACTGACAACTTTCTGTTTGTTCTTAGCTATTTTGGACAAACTGGAGATTATTGGCAAAGTATATCAAAGAGAGGGTTAATAGCACAAGGAAAATCTTTAAATTTAACCTGCTTTATCTGAAGATTAAGAAGATTAGCAGATCGTTTTTAGCTTCTTTTGTGTTTTTTCCTTTGCTATTTTACTCCTTTTGGTGAGGAGTAGTTCTGTCAAGAAGTGCTCTGCTCAGTTTTGTGAATGTTTCCAAAATATGAGTGTCGTGAGCACACAGCAATGAATTAAGCAACTTAAAAATGAAAACTTCTTGCAATATATTCATAGATAATCATGAAAAGTAACCAAAAGATAATTGGGTAGGTGAGAGTTTAACCTTTGCAGAAATTTTCTGTGTGGAATGGTGGATTAGAAGCCATGTTAAATGGCCAGTGTTATTTAAAACAAAATCCTTTGATGATTAACTGAAGCCCGAGAGACAATTCTGGTATTTATTTATACTGCACCAAGCTGAGAATTTTTAAACCAGTTAATGATTTGGGGTAAACTTGTGGGTAGGGGTGGGTGGGGAGGGGATCTGAATGCTAAATTGACAGCCTATGAATTGGCCTGATTTTTTTTTTCCCCAGTAATTGCTGAGCACCTGTTCCTTGAGAATCAGGCCTTTTTAATCATCGTTCCACTCATTAATAGTTTTAAAATACATTCAATAATGCCTATTAAACTCCTGTTCATTTTTCCTGCTAGAAAATGCCTCATAAATGTAGCCTTTTAGACCCAAACTTGCTTAATTAACCAAAATAATCAAGATCTTTTGACTGAAATATCTAATTTGGGCTTTTTCAGAGTCAGAATGAACGAGTCGCGTTCTGATTGCTCTCTCTTTTCCTCATCTCTTCAAGAGCTCGTTTCTGTGATCTGTCACTTGATCAAAAAATAAGCATTTTCTGATGCTGCGTTGACCTTTCGGAGGGTTTTGAGAGACTATTACTCAATCAGAGTTGTACAAATATCAGCAATCCATTAATCATTTGTACATGGACTTTGTGCAGCTATTAGGTATTCAGAAGAGCTAGTTGTTCCTCTCTTAAATGTCAGCTTTTCAGCGCTATAATTCTAATTTGCAGCCAGACCCCCCAAAACTGAATATTATTATAGTAAGGATTATTGGTCATGTAATGCTTTTGAAGGCACACATTTTGCTGTATCTTGTAAGGAAAAAAAGACCTCTAGGAATGGCTTCCCCAGAGCCAGTTCTTGACAGCTGAACAGCAAACAACCTTGGTCGGTGCTTGATGTTATCAAAGCAGTTGGCTGTGAATAGAGAAGCAGATATATATGTATGACAGGGGGGAGTTCAGCATCTTCCAGCAAGCTGTGTGAGCTGGGGATGAAGCCTCCTATCTAGTACAGACTGGTGTTCCTCTCTAGCTGTTCCCAGGAATTCTCCAGTACACTGCTTTTTTTTCCCTCAGTGCTCTGGAGCTTAAAACAGAATCAAGTAACTCCGTGGTGAACTTTAGAGAGGAAGGAGGTGTAAACACAAAGAAGGAAAGTGTGATCAAAAATGAGCAAAAGTAGACTTCAGAGGTGTGGTAGAGGTTCAGGATCAATGGCAGCATCATGGTAAGTGCTGCACAGAGCCTTCTGTACCTACTGAGCCCCTGCTGTTAGGGAGGGGAAGGTCTTGTAACTGCTTCCAAGAGGGACTTTTAAGTCCATAAGTCCTTTCAGCCCGCAGCAAGAACTTGTCTTACATTGTTGCAGCTGCTTTCAGGGAGTATCTTTGCACCACTTCAGCTCCTGCTTTGTCTATCAACAGCAAAGCGTTTAGAGATCAAGTAGTGGAAACAGTTACAGAAGCAATGCATTAGCGTGCATTGAAGTCTATGACATTTGCCACATCGTGTTTCCTGGGTGCATTAAGTGTGTTGGAGGTCCGTTTGTTTAACCGTAGTGATGTTTTTTTTTTCCTAAGCAGTTTCCTTTATTGGAGATTTTTTAGTTGTCTGTAATGTAAGCATTTTTTTTAATATTAAAAAAAAAAAACAACACAAAACAGGGCCAACACCCGAGAACCAAAACAAACTCACAGAGCCCAGAACAGCTCTATGTTCGCCTAATGACTTATTATGTGATTAATAAGTAGAACTTGCTGAATTGGAGAAGGGAGATTTGCAATGAGCAGATTGCATGTCCCTTCTCCTCTCCTTCAAAAAAAAAAAAAAAGGAAAAAATAGTTGCCATGATAATAACAGTTATTTTGCAGAAGGAATTGTTGAATGATGCTAAATTCCTCCCATTAGAGCTGGAAGCGCTGGATGGTCTGCGGTTGTGACTGGGTGCCTGAGTGAAAAAAGAGACCTCACCGGGACACTTGTGTTGAAAACACAGTCTTTAACATAATACAGAGTGGTGATGTGAGCTATGTTCCTTAGCTGTGCTACAGAGAATGGAGAAAGAAGCCTGCACAGTTCCTGTGGTCTCTGGCTGAGCCTCTGCCTACCGCCTTGCTGTGGCTGACATAATGGCAATGGGTGTGGGAGGGGATGCAATAATATTAGCTTAAGAGGAGGGGGAGTAGTTCTGTTCTGTAGATCTGGATTTGTTTTGCCAAGCCAGTGTTTTCTAATTTCCTAAACTCTTCCTGCCAAAGAACTGTTGTCTTGATATTTAGTGTCTGCGCATTGTGTATGCCATGAGGACAGATACTATTAAAGAAGTTAATTCCACAGCATCTGGAAAAACATCACATCCAGTGCATATCGTTAGCATTTACTTCCTAGATTATTCTGTTTCAATCTTTTGCTCCATTCAGAGACTCTTGTGTGTTTAGTTACCCTTCTATCATGCCATCATCTCAGGAAATCACAACTGTTAGGTCAGAGAAAAAGCGTTTTGTTGAGAAGCTGTTCACTCCAATTGCTAAATTCCAAATTTGCTCATAGGATGGCCTTGTTCCATGGCCAAGAGCAAGCAACAGGCAGCTGATCTAAGCAGCCATGTGTCATGATCGTGCTCTGGATTTTGTTTATGAAAGCATGATCTGGAGAAAGAGCTGAGCTCCTTGCAACTGTTACTGTGTATTTGCTTGTGTGTAACTTAAATGTTTCATGGTACCAAAATAAAAGGTGGTAGTGAATCCAGTGAAGCTGGCTTTGTCACAACTGCTTGAATAGATATATATATGTTTTTCTTGTCCAGGTGAGACCAGGGCCACCCTCAGTGCTTTGTACTTGGGGGCACTGGGCAGCCTGGTCTAGTATGAAATGGGGAGGTTGGTGGCCTTGCCTGTGGCAGGAGGGTTGGAGATTCATGATCCTTGAAGTCCCTTCCAACCCTGCCCATTCTGTGATTCTCTACTCCCAAGTAGCAGAGAAAGCAGATAAAATCAGATTTCCATATCAGTCCAGGAAGAAATAATGGGGAAATCAGGCACAAAGAATAAGGTAATAAGTCGTGGCCTTTTAATGCTGTTCTAATAGCCACTGACAGCAATGTAAATCCATATTTTTTTTGTTGTGGAAGTTACTCTTGTTACATGAGGCTTTGACAGATCTCTTTTAGTGGATTGTACTGCAGTGGTATAGCAAGCTATTGTTCCTTCCTGCCTCCCAGCTCCCCTCCAGGTGCAGTAGGAGAGGATGTCCACAGGCCCCTTATTTATTTCAGTGCACATCACTCACTTCACTGGGTCTGAGCTTATAATGATGCTTCAGATTAGACTGTCTTAAGTGCTGTCCCAATTTTAGCTTTCTTCCATTGCGTTCAGCACAGAGATGAAGCATCATGCCAAAACATTACAAGTTGTGATCATCAAAACCTCTTTTTACACCACAGTTCAGAATACTGTGACAGTTGCTTCCTAACAGGTGAGTTTGGACTGGGAGCCTGCCTTCAAGAGCCATTTCTGGTTTTCTGTACTCTGCTTTCTCATTCAGCCCTTATCTGACCTGCACAGGGAAAGTGAAATGGATTAATTGAGTATTTCAGAGAGTTCATACTCAGTTGGCAATACTTTCTGCACTCAGATGCTTTTTGTACCTTATTTTCATGGATGCTCAGTGTATTGAGGTGCTAAATCATATTTCACAAGCCTTAGATAACTGTGTTACGATGACATCTGGGGACCTAAACTGAGTTCAGGTCCCTGTGGTAACACCTTTGGCATACAGTCTTTGTGTGGTTAATGCTTTGAGTTTTAGACATCAGGTGATGTGACAAGGTGGTAATAGGATTAAGTACTGAGGAAGATCCTGGGGGCTTGGAGTCCTCTGCTGTCATTCCAGCTCTGTCTGCATGGAAATTGTCTGCAGCCTAGCTGATCATCTCAGCCCCTTGTTCAGCAAAAAGGGAGGAATGGACAGTAGTTGAACTCCTTGAGCAGATAAGTTAAATCACAGTCTCAGTTGTATTGCCCAGGTTCCCACAAGTTTAATGAGAATTCAGGGTTGCATAGCTCAGGTGGGCACCTGTTCATAAATCGAGGCATGAGTCTGCTGTGGTTGAACACTTGACACAGGATGTAATTCTGGTTTTTAACTTTACTGATTATTAATTAACAGCCTGTTCAGGCAAGCAGTGCTTATGCAGATCTTTCAATGACTTAGCATGCTGTATTGAGTTTTTGGGACATATTTGCATTGCTGTTTTTTGTGTGACAATTTGTGTAACAATTGAATACTCAGTAACTCATCTGAAGTGCACAGAAAAAGTGTGGCAGAGCCAGAGAACAAGTCAGACTTTCCAGATTGTTATATGGAGACACAAATTGGAGGCTGTCTCATTGTAAGATTTACCAGTGCCTGATGAAATATGCCTTTAAAATGCATCTTTGGTGGGATCATACTTGCCCATCCACTTTGTGTAACAGATTGTGGTTGGTTCATGGTCCAAAATATGTAAAAATATACAGAAGGCACTGCTGCTGTGAGCAGCTGACAGAACTGAAGCAGTGATAGCTAGATGTCTTGCCATCATTTCACTTTGCAAAACTAGTGATCAGTTTTGGCCAGATAATCAGATTCCAGTGACTTTTACCATTGGGCTGCGTGGGAAATGCATCTTAATACTTTCAGATCCCTTTGCATGGAGTAGCAGTGCTCATCTTGAATGGTCGAAGCTGTGCTGGACTAAAGGGTTAAGAGATTTATTACCAGACTGTTTAAGGCAAAGAGAATGAGCAGATGAAAGTGAGCTGCTTGCCTTTTATTTTTTCGTGCAAGTATAACCACGCAGTCATCGCCTGCTGTGTTTCAAAGCAGAGCATAATTGGCAGGTGGACTGAGCAGACTGTAGCTGACTGAATTTCCATTTTACTGCTTTCGTATCTTAAAAGCTTTTCTGTTCTCAACAATTGTGTCTTTTTCTGTATTTTAAATGTTGAGTGTGCTCTAATGAATGCGAAGCCTATCAAAAGTAATCTGGTTTAGAACTAAGAATAAAAATGTTTTTCGTGGTGAACCTGAGTTTTTTTTTTTTTTTTTTTGGCAGAGTTGTGACTTATAAATAAATTGTATGCTTCTTGGAGAGGTGGGAAGGGGAGTGTGTCCCTACTCCCTTCCTGCATCCTTTTGTGCCAGCACCCAGCTTTGTGTAGGTGTCATGGAGGAAGCACTGATCTTCTGCACTCACCTCAGCAGATCTCACAAACTAGGATGGGTGAGGACATAAGTCATGAAAGCTGAGCTTACCACGCTGCAGTGTGCAAGGACATGTTGAAAGAGAGGAGAGACCTCACTCCTAAATTACCTCCAGGATTGAAAGATTTGTTGGTGTGGAGTCTGAAACCTGGTAGGCAATTTGTTAGATGAATGTGGAGGCTGGCCCTGCTCTAAGCCAGGAGAAGTGGACCAGAAGGCCTTTAGAGATCTCGTCCATTCTTAATTATACTGTGACATGAATGCAAGACTGCAGTCAGTGTTGCTTGGAAGGATTTATTCTGTGTGGCACTGTCCACTTTATGCATAAGGATCAGAAATTCAAAGCAGGGACTGAGGTGGAAACACATTCTAACTTCACAAATCCAGGTAGTTAATTCCTTAGGAGGGGCAAGACTGCATCCCAGCCTCATTTCCTGGATCACACACAGGGTAGAGTTGATCATGTCATTTTTCTTTTTGGTGCATATCCTACACACGTCCATCTCCAGTCTGGGGAATTCAGCCTTGCTTTACTCTTACAGGGTAGGAACCTGAAGTGTTTCATTTGGGATCGAAGCAGAGTTTTCTTCACTTGTAGTTTTGGTTAGGACAGAGAAAGGTAGATTAGGCTTGATCCATGATTTGCTTTGTATTTTTGCTTTGGCAGCCAAATTGCAAAGCCAGTTATTCACACAGCTGTATTTCTAGCTGCTTGTGATTTATGGAAAGAGCTGAGAGATATTTTATGAGATAAATCCCACTATTGTGGCTGACATCCAGCTTTAGTCAAAGAATTCTGACTGCATAAAATTCCCCTGCCATTCCAGTTAGATATAATATTCCTCGCTGCTTTTCTCAAACCAGTAACTTACCTAGCTTCAAACAGGGGGATTGCTATGGAATTCAGCCCCATCTGTGGACATAGGGGCTGCTGACATTTCATAGCACTTTTCTGAGGGCTGATGCTTACTCTTAAAAAAAAAAAAAATAAATAAATAAAATCTGTTCTGTGGTTCTGTGGAAAACAAGAACTGAGTTTGCCAGTTATGAAATCAATAAAATAATAGTTAAATTGCTGTATAGAGTATAATTCCTTTTCTTATTTTACCAAAAGCCACAGATCTATTGTGGACTACACAGCCTATCGTTTTGGTAGCTTCAGTGACGTTATGTAGCTGCTTATGTACCACTACAATTGATGATGTGGAGTGTTAAAGCTGATTGTTTTTTTTCCTTGGGGATTATTATTCAATTGCTCATGTTAATCAGGCAGTGTGGAGCTGCCTGTGAATGCCTAAGGAGGCAGATCATGTAGACCAGCACTGATAGCAGAGACAGCCCCTTTATAATCTGAAGGGTTTGAGAGGTTGCATTTCCAATTGATCTAACATGGCATAGGTCTGCTTTTCAAATCTCCCTTACAGAGTCAAGGGAAAGCAGCTGTGTCTTGCCCATCAGGCAGGTGCTTCAAGTTCATACCACCAGGTTTATTAAGGGAGTAGCCAGAAGTGGGAATAAAAGGTGGTGCTGTAACTCATGCCTTAAGAGTGCTGCTGAAAGGAGCCTGTGTTACAGAGCAAGAAATGAAGATCATAAAATCATTGAGGCTGGAATAGACTTCTAAGGTCACCAAATCTGGCCTCAGCCCATCACCACCATGCCTTCTAAACCACCTTGCTCAGTGCCACATCTACACATTTCTTGATCACCTCCAGAGATGGTGACATTGCTGCTTTCCTGAGCAGCCTCTTTCAATGCATTGCTGCTCTTTGTAACTCTGCTATAGGAATCAGTTGTGTGAACCAATGACAGCTGAAGTTTAACAGGTCTAATAGGTCAGCATTGGGCAACAATCTGTAACAATTCAGATGTCTTCTCCCCTTAGGAATGCATCACTTTAGAGGCTTCAGCCCTTTATGGACTAGTATCAGCTTTTTCAAACAACGGAGTTTCTTGGCCATTATGGAGTAACTCAGGGTGTTTGCTCACACTCCCACATAACAACTGGTAAATTGCTAAGTGTATCATAAATTGGCTGGTTGGTTGTATAATGTTTAGAGCCTGGAAGAGAGATGTTGGGGGTACAACAGTTGTTCCTCATTTTCTCATCTGTTTATACATCCCAGGGTCCAGAGGGAATTAGGTGATATGATTACCAAGCCACACTCTGTCATATTGGAAAAGTCACAGTGATCAAGCAAAGTTCCTGGTGTCTGGATAAAGGGAAACATTGCTCCCATTTTAAAATGGGAAGGAAGGAAGGTCCTATTAACTGCAGACCAGTCAGCCTTACCTCTGTGCCTGGGAAGATTGTGGAACAGAACTTCCTGAAAGTCATGTCAAGGCACACATGAGACAGGGAGGTGATTTGAGACAGCATAGCTCCACCAAGGGCAGACTGTGCATGACCAGTCTGGCAGTCTTCTACGATGGAGGGACTACATCACTAGAGAAGGGAAAATTGTCCAGAGCACTTCAGGGCATGACTACAAATTATGTGGTCATTCACAGCAAAGAAATGAGTGACTGCCTTGTTTCTGTTACACTGTCAAAGAACCACGTGGTTTTTTGCTCAAAGCTCTCAGTCTTTTCTTCCAATAGATACTGAAGAAGTTGAAGAGCCTCGCCTTGGAGACAGAGGCAGAACTGGAGAGACAGGATGAAGCTCTGGATTCCATCACTACCTCCGTCGACCGTGCGACGCTGAATATCGACAAGCAGAACCACAGAATAAAGAAGCTGACGTAGCACCCACAGGAACCAGTGGGGACGGCATCACGAGGAAGAGGGGATCAGGGAATTGTCTTTTTAAAGACTGTTTCTGTGTAGACACTTTGTGTGGGAGCTGCTTGCGATGTTGTCTGGAGCGCGGCACGGTTGACGTCAAGTTTCTGAGAGTTCTGAACGCGTCTCCAGACTTGGACGATGATGGTTGGCTGTTTCAGGATGGAAAAAGGCCAAATGTTTTAATCACGGTGAAACAATGAGAGTGGATCCTTGACTACAGAAAATCTGTAAATACAAAGGGATGTGATTTCATCTGAAAGAACTTTTATGCTGCTTTTTACGTTGTTGCTTCTGAAAGGTTTGTTGTTGTTGTTGTTTTTTTTACTGCAACAAAGGAGGGAGAAATGAACTGCATGACTACTTTAGATGATTACAACCTATTAATTCTCTATTCCTTGCAAATAGTTAATAGCTGAACTGAGGGCCAGATGTCAGACCGCAAGTCATTGAGGCTTTTTTGTGTGTGTGTGAGTTAATGCTGAGGTGAGCAAATGGTGGTGATAAAACCTTGTGTTCACTGAATGAGTAGTTTTAATAAATTTCAAACGTATTTTTAATGTGCTCAGAAATTTTATAAGAATAATTAAGGATTAGTGGCCACAGCTGTTGTGCCATGTCCAGGGAAATCAAGGGAAGAATTTTAGTTAATATGCATGCATTGGTGCAGACATTGACTTTCTGAAGTATTTCTTTCCCATTGGATGAATATTTTGCTTACTTACAAGCAGTAAGTGTCAAAGTTAAATATATGCTGCTTCTTTCCAAAGAGGGGTTGCTGATCTTGATGAACACCTACACCTTTTGCTTTATTTTTCACCTTTGTACCTCAGAATTAATGAAGGAATTGATTCTGGAGTAGAGGAAGGTATTTTTTCATGGATGGATTTATTCAGAGCATCTCCTGTAGTTCACTGTGTGTATTGCTGTCTTGCACATAGTGGTTTTATATTTTTGGTAAAGGTCTGATGGATTCAGTGTCCTCAGAACATCATGAACATAGCATTCACTTAGTGTGGTGCCTGCTTACTTTGTTGGACTTGGGCTGCCACGTCTGACGGAGGCTAGTGGAAGGCATCGTGCACCTTTGCATCTCTACCTTCAGTTTCCAGGAATCTCCCATGCACTTTTCTCTGACTCTGAAAACTTCATGTGTTCTGGGGAGCATCGTCTGCTTTTTGTGCGTCTGCTCCACGTTCATAGGTTGAGAGGCCAATGGCTGGAACCACAGGCACCTGCATATCATTTTGCTGTTGTGCATCTGTCTGCCTTCTGATTATTATTTATTTGCACTAACTGGTGATGAAACATTTCAAGACTTCTTCTGCATTTCTAAAATAAAAGGCAATCTTGCCAATTGTTGTCTAGTAGATTTTGTTTACAGTTAGCTCCACTGAGTCTACAGGACAGCGGAGACGTTTTCCTAACTTACTGGATACTGTATTGGAGGGATTCTAGGTAAAGCCTTTGACAGAGTATTTGAAAGGCAGGATTGCTTTTCACCTCCCATTTCATTGAATCCTGCTGTTGGCAAGCTATTTTCATTCAAAAGAGCTGTTGTAATCTCTTCTTTTTCTCCCCCGAGTGTTTTTGTATTAAAAATATCTTCTTGTATTGCTCTCAAATACAACCTGCAATATTTTTAAGTAGTGAAGCTTTGAACTGTTTATTCTACTGATAGCTGATGTGAAAATTTCCTGTTTCAGAGTAATTCAGCCTACTTTATAAAGAAATGCACAGTAGATCATGTAGAGTATGTTGTTTTCAAGACCTTACTCTACCTTGTTTTGTATTGCTTCATATTAGCTTATTAGTATTGGAGGAAGTCGTGCTTCTGCACTGCAAGTCCTTCATGTACAGTCAAAGTTGTTACTGGCATGCACTTTAGCTATTTGCTGAATATGGTGATTATATATACATACACCGTGTCGTGTGAAATGAAATATTGTCTGGGATTCTCTTTCTTGTTTGTTTCTGATACCTAAATCACTGTTGTTTTACTGTGAAGGTATGTTTACATAACTATGTTACGAATTTAAAAACACACTTTGCACAAAATGTATGTTAACTGACCCTGGTGCTGACTGGGAATGGATCTGTACACTGAATTAGTTTAGATCAAGACTGCCAAAAGCAAATGCCAATTACACCACATTTAGCTTAGCATTCTTTGTGCCATATTTTTACTGATGTAATTTTTATCATGAGCTGATGCATCTGATACCCTGTCTGTGATTTGTGTTAGTCTGTGTCCGTGCTAAAACAAAATGGTAATATGATTTGTAAGCAGTGATCCATTCTAGAAACGTACATGTACCTCCTAGCTGAGTTTCAAATGCCTGGAGGAGTTTCACTCTGTAATTTATTAAATATATTGGACTGGTATCTTCTGTCTTGTATTTATTTGACTAAGAAGTTATGATGGAAAATGCTCCATCCTCTCCCTTTTCCTCCTATGGAACAGAACCTAAAACTTCTCATAGGGCTGTGTTTTAAGATGGACAAAATATTATCTGATGGAATGTTATCAACATGATTATAGAATCATAGGATGATTAAGGCTGGAAGACCACTGAGATCACCAAGTCCAAACCCAACCCACTGCTGCTGTGCCCTCTGATCCATGTCCTCAAGTGCCACCTCTCCAGGTTCTGGAACACCTCCAGGGATGATGATTCCCATCACAGTGATCACCCACCATCAGCTGGACAAAGAGTTGGATGAACAGGATGAACAAGGTATGTGGTACTTGGTACTGTCCTAGAGGCTGGTGTAGAGCAGCTGCTCCAGCTTTTAGACAATGGACTGGGGGCTGCTTGGATGGTTCATGCTTAAACAGCCTCATGGTAAACAAGTATAGAGACTTCACTCTGGTCAAATCTTAATGTATGATAATTTGGTCTCTGTTACAGCCAGAAGTGCTTAGAAACCCCTGAGTATCCTGCCTGAGACCCAAGTGATGTTTTCCAAACAGTGTCAGTGGGGGAAGATGCAGCAGGTATCACGCTAAACAGTATTGTTGTCCTTAATTCCTCATTGACACAACTGTTACCTACAGTTAAGTGGACTTTTAAGGTAAATCAGGCCTTTTACACGTGTGGTTTGTAAGGTCTTTGCATGTCTTTTACTGTGTGTAAAGCTGGGGGCTCCATCATTAATAGGGACGTGATTGGTGGGCATGGTGGGATGGGTTGATGGTTTGACTTGATGATCTTGGAGGTCTTTCCCAAACTTTTTTGTTTCTATGATTAAGAAGTTGAGAAATAATGCTAGGGAGATTACAGTTATGAACAGATTTTACGTGAGAAGGCATTTTGGCTCACACAGAGCAGAACAAGGTCGTGCTGTGTCTTAATGTGACTTCACAATCCAGTGTCTGTTTGTAGCAGTGATGAGTGAGCCTGAAATAGCTGCAACTTAAACGTATTTCTGCATGAGAGAGTGAATGTCCCCAGTGGAATGGCTGAATCCTGGTAATAAACAGGGCACTCTGCAGCCCTCAGACGGGTGGTGTAAGGAGCTTTTTCAGGCAATTAAGTAATTGAACTAAAGCCTCATAATAGCTGTCTGTTTCCAAAGCCAATGCTTTGAAACCACTGGTTTGCTCCTTATGGAAGGAAATGGAGCAAGTGTTGAAGCCAGCCAGCTTCAGAAACTGGGCTGTATTTAATTTTTAACAGTGGCAGTGGTATCCTATTGCCTCTCGCTGTGTGTGAGCAATATCAAACCTCAACCTGGTATAGGGAAAACTAATTTCATAACTCTGCTAGTCATCGGTTTAACAGCTGGGCTTTGCAGAGTAAATAGCTCTTGGCTTCCACACCAGCATGTCTGCAGCTCAGCACTGGGCTCCTGCTGGGGCTGCTGGTCTTGCCCATCCGTGCATCCCAGCTCAATGGGACTTTGCCCACCAGCCCAGCTCCCTGTGACAGCAGCACAGCATCTCCTCGTCCACCCCAACTCGTGCTGCCACCAGCGAGCACTTTGCCTTGTCAAGGTAAATGCAGTGCTTGGGCCAGCTGTGTGTGAGCCAGGTGGCAGCGACTGCAAAACAAGCACCCTGCGTTCAAGCTGCCTCCTGTTTGAAGTGGAACGGTGTTGGCTTAATGGTTTAAAAGTTCAGCCTGGCCTGTGTCAAGTGGTTTAATTTTAAACCTGCAGATTTTAACCCTTTTGTGATTTGGAGTAGGGGAGTTAAAAGTATTGAACACCAAAATTAAGAAACTTGAGTTTGGACGTGATTCTGATTTTTTTTTTTTTGATTGTTTGCTAAGACTTTAATTACATCCTGGATAATGCAGGCTGGGGGAAATAAGGGCTGAAGACGGACAAATGAATAATGGTATCAGAAGCTTTTAGGATGAGAGGTAATGAAAGGCTTAAGTTGCACCAGGGGAGGCTCAGGTTGGTTATTTGGAAAAATTTTATCTGAGAAAGAGTGGTAATGCACAGCACCACAGACTGCCCAAGGTCACCATCCCTGGAGATGTTCCAGAACGGTGGGAATGTGGCACAGAGGGATGTGGTCAGTGGGCACGATGAGGTGGATTGGGGTTGGACTTGGGGATCTTAGTGATCTTTTCCAACCTTAATGATTCTGAGTCTATAAGCTATCACTTTATAGCAGCACACCACCTCCCTCTAGAAATCCCACAGGGCGAGACCTGCCTTGGTTCTTTTCACAACAGCTGAAGCATTGAGCCACAAGGATGCTTTTGGGGTGGGACAATGATAGGTAAGAAGAAGGGCAGTGGGACTCTTTCCTCTGAGAAGGACGATGTGGATTTGGGTGTAACTCTGGTTTTGTGGGCTGAAAATTTGTTCAGGAGCTAGCTGCGAAGGAGTGAGCTTTGGATAACTGGGTTGTGTCATGACACAGAGGGGAAACAAGACTTGAGATCTCTGGAGAAGGAAATCCACTGGGCTGGGTGGGATGGAGCCACTTCAGAAACGAGAAGGGAAATCAAAACAAGAAATGAGAGGTGGAAGATCTGCCTTTAGTCTGGCAGGATTTCATTTCTAGGAGTGCTATTGGCTGACAGAGGTCTTGTTCACGTTGGGCATGGATCTTTCCCTCAGTGTTTGAATTGCTCTTTTATAACATGGCAATAACACCTTCTTGTCTCTCTGGCATCCCAGAAAAGATAAGAATCTTGAGCCATTGGCACCTTTGTTAAGGATTTGCCTGCTAGGAAGCCTATGACAAACTATAACGTTTTATATGATTTTAAGCTCAAGGAGGAAAGGTTTAGACTGAATTTCATGGGGAAGTTCTTCACAGGGTGGTGAGGTGCTGGAACAGGCTGCCCAGACGGGTTGTGGATGCTCCATTCCTGGAGATGTTCTCAGGAGAAAGACCATCTTCTAATACATGGTGAGGCTCATGAGACTTTTCATCATTTAATGTTTATCATACACTTATAAAACTCTTGCTGCATAACATTGCACTTTTAGTTTAGGCAGTGAATGGAGGAATTGGAACATACCATGGCAAGACCATGGTATTGGTGTTCAAGGCCAGGTTGGATGGGGCCCTGGGCAGCCTGGTCTGGTATTAAATGTGGAGGTTGGTGGCCCTGCCTGTGACAGAGGGGTTGTAGATTCATGATCCTTGAGGTGCCTTCCAACCCCGGCCATTCTGTGATTCTATGAAGACCTCAACATTCCTATTTGTGTGCAAAGTTGATGATTAAGAGAAATTTATATTCAGGTGCAGCTTGATGAGGAACTTCCCCTGTGATCTTCCATGTGCATGGAAATGTTCTGTGCCACAGTTCTTGTGTGGTTAAGTGGTTGCTATAGTTGATCTTTTGCCTGTCTGTAAGATACTTAATGGTAAACCTCTGGGACATGAAATCACCTGCTCATTTGTAAACATTCAGCAAAGTAGGTCTGTAGTATGAACAACAATAAGCTCAGCTGAGCTATTAATAAGTTTGAATGAGCTTAGCTCTGAATATGGCAGTGAAAGTCAAAATGAAGTCCTTAAAAAGTGGCCATGCTCTTTGCTCAGGACTCCTGCAACTTGTGCAGTTTTTTTCCATTCATTGCTCTGTTCCATGCAGCATTTGATGCTGAAGGAAAGCTTGCATATCGAAAGATGACTTGTGAAATAGTGTTGAAGGAGAGCAATGTGATCAAGCAGCAGTGCTAATACTTGTCTCCAAACTATTTGCTACTCTTTTGTGAGCTAGCTTTGACTCTTCAGATGTCTAGTGATCATGTTAGGTTTTTTGCAGTTGCAGCTGTAGGAAAGAGGAGAGTTTGTTTCACTCGACTCTCAAGAATATTTTATAGAGGCAGAACTTTCTTTTGCGTGCTAAATGTTCCCATTGCACTGGGATTCCAGGAAGAAAGAATCACTTTATGGTATAGTTCATCTCTTTTTCAAGGCTGATGTGTAGCCAGGATTCCTTCTGTTTGGTCTTAGAAATGTAACCAAGGGGCATGGGTTGTCATCCTGTGTCCCCCTGTGTGACTGTGGGGGGTGTTGTGGGGAGAAACTGGCACTAATAGTCTTTCTTCTGGCTCAAGTGCTCACCAGAATTACCACCCACTTCTTCCACAGCTGCCTACAAAATGCTATGCATGATAGTTATATCTCACTCCTCTTTCATAGGTAGGGAGAAAGGTAGGGAACTGTGATGCCCTACTCTCCTCGCCTTCCTTGTTCTGATCTTTCCAATTTCCATTCAGCCTCCTCCAAACAGAATCAGATAATCATAGAATCAGACCATCATTTAAGTTGGAAAGACCTTCAAGAACATCAGCTCCAGCCATTAGTTTGATGTACTGAGTCTCATCACTAAGCCATGTTCCTTAGTGCTACATCCACATGTCTCTTCAATACTTCAGGGATGGTGACTCCACCACATCCATTCCAATGCTTGACTATCCTCTCTGTGAAGTAGTTTTTCTTAATGTTCAATCTAAACCTTCCCTAGCACAATCTGAGACTGTTTCCTCACATCCTATCACTTGTCATTTGAGGAAAGAAACTGACCCCCACCTCACTACAACTTCCTTATGGGTCACTACAGAGAGTGATGAGGTGTCCTCTCAGACTCCTCTTCTGCAGGCTAAACAAACAATCTCAGTTCCCTCAGGCAGTTCCTCATCTCTTTACCAACTTCATTGCTCTTCTCTGCATATCCATGAGCAACACAACATCCTTCTTCATAGAATCCTCACGGTTGGAAGGGACTTCTAAAAGCCATTGGCTCCAACTCTCCTGCAATGAACAGGGATGCCTACAGCTCCATCAGATGCTCAGAACCCCGTCCAACCTGACCTTGAATGTCTCCAGGGGCAACACTTCAGTTTGACTTTTTTCTTTTATCATTGAAGGCCATTATTTTGAATGCTTTGGATCAAACTCTGCACAT